ATGATAGGGAAGCATGTGCTCTGGTATTTGAGGAATAGCAAGAAGGCTAGGTGTAGCTGGAGATAATGAACCAGGCAGAGAATGATAAGAGATGAGATTGGAGTGATGTGTAGGACCATACCATGTAAGACATTTGAGGTCACAGTCAAACATTTTTTTATCTTATTCTGGTCTTAAATTCTTTTTTAAATGTATTACTTGGCTGGCTAGTCTGCCAGTATTTCTTTCTTATTCTTAGAAAGCTTAATTGGATACACACATAAAACCATTAGACTTACGTGAGAGAAGAGAGATATGTCAAGAGCGTGTGAATATAAAATTTGGTCAGTCAAAAGTATTCCTCTGTGGGAATTCTGGAAAGATGATAGTGTTGAATGGTGTCATTTTTTAAAAATCTCCCCAAATTTCTTCATGAAAACAAATAGAGCAGTTCCTACTCTGTTAGTAGCAAAGAAGCTTGTATCAGATTAATCCTCCCATGGATTACACATATACATTCTGGGAAAAAATATACCAGACAACTTTGGAGAGACTGGGGAGCATCAAAAGCAGGTAGGACCATGAAGTCAACCTTGAAAGAGTTGAACTGCAGTAGGTGAAATGTCCTCTATGCGCCTTTCCACCTGAGTACACTCCCCATTCCATGCTGTGACGGGCAGTAGAACTCAAGCAGAAAGCTGCAGTCTTACTAGCTTGAGGAGTCAAAGGTGAAAATTTAGGGCTATCAGAATGAAAAGTGATGGGGCAAGTCATGGAAAAGGAGAAAACACCGGGGAGGGGGACCAAAATCTGCTTCAAACTCCACCCAAATCCTTGACTAATCCCTGAAACACACACATGTTTTGTGGAGAGACCTCAAGGGGCCCAGCAGAAAGCAGCAGTTGGAAGCCTTAGCTTAGCTGCTGTCCATTACAGTGGAAACAGGAGTTTGGGTCCAGCCAAGTTAACTGGCCATTAGAACAAAATCCATCATGCTTTGGAAGAAGATAACAATTTATCATCCAAAATATCCAGTGCAAAATTAAAAATTAGTTGTCATGTGGAGAAATTGGAAAGTGTGACTCATAATAAAGACAAAAAGGAATCAAAAGAAACCAACCCCATGATAACCAGAAGTTGTGATTACCAGGCAAAAGCTTTAAAGGAGCTATTATAAATATGTTCAAGGAGGAAAATATAGCAGTACTGAATGAAGAGTTGGGGAATCTCAGCAGGGAAAAA